CCTGCTCAGCTGCTCCGCCATCCTGCTGTGGCCAACACCCACCATGTTCGGTGCTCTGTCTCCTGGTGCCAATGTCCATCATGTTCTTTGCACGCCCTCTGGTGGTCAGCACACGTCATAGCGTCCGGTTGTTCAACCATTTGGTCTATTGGCATATTAGCCTTTTATTATATAAGATTAACCCATTATTAAGCACAGTTCCTGCAATTCTGCAACTTGCCTTGATGTACTTTGTTTAGGTATTTGTTTAGTGCTAGATGTCATTCTCTTTAATAGTAATACATCCAGCCGAAACCGGTTTGGCTCAGTGGATAGAGCATCGGCCTGCGGACTGAAAGGTCCCAGGTTCGATTCTGGTCAAGGGCATGTACCTGGGTTACGGGCACATCCCCAGTGGGAGATGTGCAGGAGGCAGCTGATTGATGTTTCTCTCTCATCGATGTTTCTAACTTTCTATCTCCCTTCCTCTCTGTGAAAAATCAATAAATTTGTTCAATATCTCCTAAGGAAATATTGTGCAAAGATGAATAAGAACTCTGTTTTCTAGGGATCAGGTAATTCAATATAATGTCATAAGCACATGGATACCCTACCCATTCTGGGAAAATTGGGAAAGGTATTCCAGGCAAGGTCATGTTTGTGAAGCCTTGAAGGACAAGTAGAATTTAGCAAGATGAAGAAAATGGGACAAGGGCGAGGGTAGGGAGGCTGCCACAAGAAAGTTCCAGGCAGAAGGAAATCATGAGCAAAGGCAAAGAAAGCATGGTTAATCACGAAGAGTTCTAGGAGTTGTCCATAGTTCTGTATTGGGTGGAGAGAAGGAGAGAGGGAGAGAGGGAGAGAGGGAGAAGAAATGAAGTTAGAGGTGAACCTATTTTTCAAATGAAAGCTTGCTCAGCATACTGTGGTTGAAATGATAATGCAGGAGGGATAGGCTGGATTCTCATCTGCTGGGTCTCTGCTGTAGTCTAATCAGTCTTCCTGTCTTTAGTTTTGAACCCATTCATTGGTATCTACTTCCAGTCATGTTTCTAAATTCGTTCAAATTTCATTAATTCTTGCCACTTGCCTTAGTGTGGCACAAATTCCCTTAGTATGGTATGATAGACCTTTCATGTTCTGCTCTCTGCTTGGCTGTCTAGCTTTATTTAGAACTTTTTCCCATCCTCACAATTCATAACAGGCAAACATTTCATCCTTATTCATGTCTTTGCAGCTTTGTTTTTCTGTCTAAATGTCCATTCCACTCTCTAATAGGGGTAAATATCTACTGTTTGAAGTCTTATCTCATCTTACATATAATAGTTTTTTAGGGCTGCTGTAACAAATACCACAAACTGGGTGGCTTATAGCAACAGGAATTTATTCCCTCACAATTTAGGTGGCTAAAAGTCTGGAATGAAGGTGTCATCGAGGCCATGTTCTCTCTGAAACCTTAGAGAAGTATCCTTCTTTGCCTCTTCTAGCTCCAGGTGGTTGCCAGCAACCTTTGGCACCACTCTGATCTCTTCCTCTGTCTTCCCATGACCTTCTCTCCTGCATGTATGTGTCCAGATTTCCAGTTGACCTTAACTTGTTTACATCTGCAGTGACCTTGTGTTTAATAAGATCACATTTGCAGGTACCAGGGGTAAGGCTTCAATGTAAGGGAACCCTTGTGCACTGTTGGTGAGAATGCAGATTGGTGCAACCACTATGGAAAATAGTGAGAAGTTTCCTCAAAAAGCTAAAAATGGAACCCATAAGACTTAAAGAGCAAAGACTTGATGTAGTACTGCATTTAAGTGTGAGTTAGGGTTGGAACAGATTTCAGAGCCTGCAAGTAGTTAATATTTCTGAAGAACATTGTAAAAGGTGAATGAGTAGACCTGAAGTTAATTATGTGTACATATTGGCTTTGAAATTAGAATTTTTCAGTCCATAAAGAGGACTCTTGACATTTACATGCCTGTATTAGAAAATAAATTCATTAAAAAAAATCTTAATGAATGGTTTTTTAGAATTCTAGCATCAAAAAGTCTTATTTTAGCTTGGGAAAAACAAAGTGCTGTGATAAGTTTTCATTATCTTTTATGTTTGAGAAATTATTGCTATTAAATAAGCTAATCTTTTAAATAGAGTATATCAGTCAATAGTTCTGTATAGAGAGTGTCTGTTTGTTGTTGTATTTCTTATTTTGTTTTGTTTTCCTTGTTAAAGCCCGTAAAATAAATGCTTGAAATTGTCTTTAATCATTATAAATAAATTAGGGGCCCAGTGCATGAATTCATACACCTTGAAAGGAACTGTGTGGGCTGTGAGGCTGCAGTGGGCACAGGGGCGTGTCTCTGCCCAACCTCCATGCCCCCGCCCAGTCCCTCCTGCCATGGCCCCTGGTTCCCTGTCTGCCAGCAGCCCTGTTACCGTCATTGCCCCTCCCATGTGCTAACGCCACTGGCCCTGATTGCACCCGCTGACGGCGTGGAGCAATTGGGGCCAGCGCCAGCAGCAGGTGGGAGCAGGGCCAGTGCTGTCAATGGGTGTGAGCAGCAGCTGCTGCCCCGATTGCCCCTCAGGAGCCGGGGGAGGTGGAGAAGCCCTCAGGGGTGATTGGGGCAGCAGCCGCTGCTTGCACCCACTGATGGCGCCAAGCGATCAAACTGATGCCAGGTGCCGGCAGCGGTTGTAAGCTGTGGCTTCAGTGCCAGCTGTGGGTGTGAGCAGGACCGGTGCCAGCAGCAGGTGCAAGCACTGGGCGGGAGGGACCACAGTGTGCAGGAGCAAAGAATTTTTAGTAACCACTAGAGGCTTGCCTTGGAGACAGTGACTGGTGCCCCAACTTGGTCTGGCGCCCCTGCTCAGCTGCTCCGCCATCCTGCTGTGGCCAACACCCACCATGTTCGGTGCTCTGTCTCCTGGTGCATGTGTCCATCATGTTCTTT